GATATATAGCGATCTCTTACAACTCACTACAAAGAAAAACTATCCCATGTAAAAATAGGCAAAGATATGAATGGACATTTCATCAAGGTAGATATACAAATGCCAAATAAGCACATGAAAAGATGCTTAGCACCATCAGCCGTGTGGAAATGCCACTAAAACTACTTGGAGATTTCTCTAGATTCCCCTCTAGATCCCAGCTAAAATGGCTATCATTAAAAAGATGGACATGCCAGGGTGCCTAGGTGGTCAGTCGGTTAAGTGTCCTATCTTGATTTTAGCTCAGGTCATAATCTCCAGGTCTGGGATGCAGACTCATGTGGGGCCCCACATCACTGAGCCCCGCACTGGGCTCTGCAAGGGGTGTGGAGCCTGCTTAAGATTCTCTCTCTCCCTCTCCCTTTGCCTCTCCCTGACATACGCATTCTCTCTCTCTCAAAATGAACATGTTGGGTTTTGGGGAGGACGCAGAGAAACTGGGACCCACGCACACTGCAGGCAAGGATGTAAGGTTGCCCAGCCGCGTTGGACAGCTAGCCATTTCTTTAAAAGATAAAAAATATCATATAAGTTATATATGATACTTTTATATCATAAAAGTTAAAAAATATCAAAATATATCATATGACCCCGCAATTCCACCTTTAGAAATCCAAGAGAAATGGAGACATAACCACACAAAGACATGTCTGCAAATATTCATAGCAACATTTTTCTTAAGAACCCCAAATTGGAAACAACCCAAATGCCAGTCAACCGGTAAGTAGGCCAGTACCATATGGTATTCATAAAAAGGAAGTACTGATACATAAAAAAATATTATGCCAGATGCAAAACGCTAAATATTGTATGATTCCTTTTATAGGCGACGCCCAGAAAAAGCAAATTTCTAGAGACAGAAAGCAGAGCAGTGGTTGCCGAAGCCTGGGGGTTGGAGCGGGGGGTTAGGTGCAAACGGGCACCAGGGAACTTAGTGGGGTATGGAAACAGTGTTAACCTGGATGTGGTGATGCTTGCACAGGGTTACAGAGTGTAAACTGTATCTTGATGAAGCTGTTGAAAAACAACCAGAATTCCTGAGGATTCACTTGTGTCTGTCTTAGCTATTCTAGCTAAAGCCATTGGGTTCCTTTTCCTCATAAATTTTTGAGATTAAAACTGATCAAAACTATGCTTACTAGATTACTCAAAAATGTTCTCGAACTTCTCACTCTTTTAGGTCCTGTCTGAAGTCTGTCGTCGTACATTCTTGAACAGAATACCACTGGATCGAGTGAACTCAAGCTGGGCACACAGTGGAAAGGGGGGTCTGAGAACTCATGCCCCAGAACAGTAAGGTTGTGCTCTAAGTCTGATGGCAATTGGAGATCTCGGTTTCTCACTGAGAGGACACCTTTGGGTGGACCATCCCTCAGTGATTTTCGCTATCTGGGCAACAAGGCTTTTGCTCTACCCATTCATGTCCCTTGTACACATGAGAGAAGCAGGCTGCATTTTTTCAGCTCCTTTTAGAAACTCACCTGCCATTATCAAATGCCATTCCATTCATCAACCCTTACTAAATGACTCTCGATGTTATCTAATGATTCAAGAATGTTCTCCCCTTCTGCACAGGAAAAGAAAGACAAATGGCATTGAGTGAGGTAGGACAGGTTTCTGATTTGGGTTCATTTGTCTAGATCTGCTTTTTATTTGCAGCCACAACATACATATTCCCAAATACAGACCCTCCTTAAGGAGTGACTTTTACACTTCGTCAAGTTTCCGGAGCAGATGGAGAGAGCTGACGGCAGACAGATCCTCCATGGGGGCTAGAACGGTGATCTCCCATTTCCCCCCTCCACTTTATACATTTGTCACTGCCCCAATTGACATCTACCTCATAGGGCATTCACCTCTGTCTCCGTGACTAGGCGAAGACCGACAGTTCTTATTCTTGGGGCTGGGACAAAGCCCCGCACTGGATATCTGGGAAATGCCACAGGTTTGCTGAAGCCAGCAGACGGGTTGTCTACTAATCAAGGAACTCCTGATGTTAACCCCGCCTAAATCGTAAGTGGCCAAATGTGGTTTTCTCTTTGTTCCATTCTAGCAGATTATCCCTTTGCACCAGATCTGGACAAGAGGAGGAACAGAAAGGATGAAGAGAGGACATTAAGGATACAGATCAGCTCCTCTATGTGGGACACAAATCATGATACTTTCCAATGTACTTTTTTTTTACCTAATCCCTAACCCTAAGAATGAGGAATAATGACATCCATTTTAGGGTCATGCAAATGAAAACCAGGATGGGTGGGGAAGGGCTGTCCAATGAAGACAAGCAGAAATGTGCACAGTTGGGTCTTAAGACTCTAAACCCATTCATCCATTCAGAAGCTCAAAGGCCTCAGGGGTGCTGGCATGGAGCCAGACACTGGGGACACAATGGCTGATCAAAACCACTGCCACAGGGGTGCCTGGGTGGCTCAGTTGTTAGGCGTCTGCTTTCAGCTCAGGTCATGATCCCAGGGTCCTGGGATGGAGCCCCATGTCTGGCTCCCTGCTCAGTGAGAAGTCTGCTTCTCCCTCTCACTCCCCCTGTTTGTGTTCCCTCTCTCACTGTGTCTCTGTCAAATAATAATCTTTAAAACAACAACAATAAAAACCCGCTGCCATTCAGCGGCCATATAGCTTAAAGCCTAGGGGACCAGATCCGAGAGTCACAGAAGTAAATACGTCCTTATAAGCCGTGGAAAACATAAAAATTGAGTACTCTTTCTATTAAGAGGATATCACCTTTCAACACACATGTTCTCTCATAACAGCCGTATGGATCCCAGCCCTGAAGGTGTCACTGGAGACGCTGGCAATGGGATACAGATAAGACGCAATGCTTAACATAGCTGTGGTCAGTTTGTAAACGTTAGCTGAATGAACGAATGATTATCTAGTGAGAAAATGGCACAACAGAGTCAAAATATGATTTGTTTCAATTTTATTTTCCTAGCTCAGTTTTCGTAAAAGATTCAGAGAACTTGACACAAATCATAAGCTATCTTCCACCCATATACAGTATATGTCCACTTTCTAGTTTTTTCTTTTGCACTGAACAAGGTGATACTGTCTTTGTTCAAACCAAAGTCCCGCGGAAGAGAGATGATAAATGAAACAAAAAGGGGGGAGGGGTAATAGGTGTGGTCTTTTTATTCACAGACAGTAAATGTATATGTATTACCACGAGGGGAAAAGCACTGAGGAAACATTTGCATCCCACATATTCAAAAGTCAAGCAATTAGTACAAGTACAGTCCCTCCAAAAATAGCAAATTTGGAACAAGTAGCCATTACTGTGAAGGAAGTTCCCAGTCTTTTATTTTCCTTTCACCACATTCCCACACTGGAATTTAAGCTCTCTTCACAGCACGAATATAAAAATGATTGAAGTCAGGGTTTTATGGCAATCTTTTGCTAAAATATATTCTATTTTAATATACATGCTATAAAAGTACACTAAAAAGGTCAATCGTTAGAGCTCTGTTAAGAATTTACTTTTTTACATATAGAATAATGTACACCCAACTCTAAAAGTATATTTGATGAAAGCTATTACTGTGACCCCCAAATATTTCTAGCTTCATATTTTGTTTATAATAGGATTGATTTTATAATACGTGTATTCAGTAATGCCTCTTATAATTCTGCATTGCAGTGCCTCACCAATCACTTTAAAGAAAAATGCGGAGGGAAGCACGTATCTCCAAGCAGTTCTTATTGTGCATATCACCAAGTTTTCAATGTAAGTTCCTGTGGCAAATTTTTCATCGTATTTTTTAACCTCTGCTAATCTAAATTCTTTTACAATCAGCATTTGGAGATTTTAATGAGGCAAATGTAAATGAGAGATGCTGAAAATCAAACCTGCAGGTAGCCTGACTTGAAAAGGAATCATTCCCTCCTGTAATAACATTTCCAGTGCCAATTCTAGGTTTTTACGGGATGTCTTAAATAATGCTGGCTGAACACATCCCGTGCAGGCGAACTGACTGCGTGCGTGCCAAACCGAGAACTCAGATCCCTGGTACGGAGTGTAACTAGATCTCCTGCGGTCCTGTAGTGCACAGATGGAGCTGCCAGTTACCGACTCACATCCACGGATCCTGGGCAGGTCCATCATCTCTTATTCCAGGTACTGGAGGAGAACAGAAATAGAAAATAACTGAAATCTGTTTCTGATTTAAACAAAAATATTACTCTTTTCATTAGCAAAACAGTCTTGAAAAATCTCTTTTTCTCCCCTCTGAACAGTTCGCCACGGAGCACGAGGCCGCGTCCGGAGGGCTCTGTGCCCCCCGTGCTCTACAGCAGATACGGTCGCGGAGCGCACACAGCAAGGGCAGCTTATTTACAGTCACTGATGAGAATACACTTCTTATCTGGTTACAGTGTCCAGTCCCACAGAGGAAAGGTTTGGCATTCGTGTGCTTTTGGTTCTTGATGAGAATCACTTCTGCTTGATTTTCATTCTTGGAAGAAAAAAATCATCAGCTGATGTCCTCAGATTTCATGACATGATGTACAAGAGGAAGGGAGCGAAGATGAGCTGTTAGCAGGGAGTGGACCTGGGCTTGAGTCTGCGGGCCGATCTTCCTCCTCTCCAGGTGAGTTTCCCGAGGGCTGCCCGCCCAGGGTGCCAGCAGGGAGGCCCCCCCGGGACACAGGCCTGCAGAGCCCTCGCTGGGGACGTGCCCCTCTAGCTCTGCGTCAGCCACCACCCCGGCTCACTACCCCCTACACTGATCTTACGGGCTTGAGGCTGCAGATCTGATGGATGCCAGTTCAAAAGCAGAGGATTTGAACATGAGGTGGCCCGGGGCCTTCATCTCTATCCTCGGCCTCCTGAGCTGTGATCGGCTGTGGAGAGAATCTGTGAAAGATGCCTGAATCATGTCCTTCAGAGCAGAATTCTCCTTTGTTTTTCTTGAACACTTTTTTTTTTCTTTTTTCTTTCTTTCTTTCTTTTTTTTTTTTTGCAACTGTCATGTTTTTCCAAATGATTTTATCAGGAGTCGAGTTTGATGTCTGCTCTTTTTGAACCTACCTAAAAATGGCATGTTTTCCCCTGGCAAATGATTACTTATTTCTTTGAAAAACGGACAAGATTTTTTTTTTCTTTTTTGGATCCAACTCAGCCCTTCAGAAAGGACTTCAGACTGAGAGGAGGAAGTGCAGGAGAACTAACTTCCTATTGTGCCTTACACAAAACATTTTGTTAAAATTAAGAGCAGCTCCAAGTACAAAAGTAAATATTTGTGCAAAGGGCACAACGCCAGATGCAATCTTAACACATCCTCAATTTACTCTTTTTCCGTTTGACTCTTTAAAACACAAGTCTTTTACATTATGAAACCTAGCAAGTCGGGGGAAGGAAGTTAACATCAGAAAATACACTTTAGAAAAAGTACAGGATTTTTTTGCTGATAATTTGCTACTTATTTCATAACTTAGATCAAGTAAGTGTTAAATATTCACAGTAATTTCGAGAAGAGACATTCGTGTCATAAAACTTCAATCTATTGCATTTTTAACCAGTTTTCTGTGCAATTACAAAATTTCATCAGTCAGTGCTTTCCTGTAGAACTCCTTATGATTAGTCCTTCCCTTTCTGGATCCAGCTATACCTTCAAGGTGGGCTGTAGAATTCCTTTCTCAATCAGATGAGTCTTCAGGGTTTTATATATATTTAACTGCTGTTCCGGTTGAAGCACCAACAACTGCTGTAGCACTTTGCTGGGATTCGGACCCCTGATAACAAAGCAGAAAAGGCCAAGTTCATGTTATTTTGAGAGACCTAAAGGAAGCATATACTTCCAACTGAAAATAAATCATGCACGTAAGTGTAGAGTAACCACCTTTACTGATCAAGCTCGCTTTAGTGCCCAATGTTGGTGTCTGAGGGAGAAAAAGCCCCATAGATATCTGGCACCGAGAGGCATACTGTAGATTTGGGAAGAATGCACAAACACAAAATGCCCGAACAGCAGTAGGCAATCTAGGGCGCAGATCTGAGTTCTACAAAACATCTCAAAGGAGCAACCTGAGTTAGAGGTGGGGATAGGGAACGAATCCTGACTGGTCAAGACTCAAGAACCATCCTTTAAGGAAGGGAGCAAAGTCCCAGTGGATGAAGATAAGCTGTAGAGGACATGAAAATATACCTTAAATTTTTAGCTTCAGAGAAACTTCAATAAGTGCCCCTAGGGTATTATGAATGTTCGGGAGACAGGACACTAAGGTGCGGACCGGGCACTGAAGCCCCTACCCAGGATCTACAGTAGATGCCACAGGCTTTGTCCAAAGAAAGTCTTCGGTGAACCCCAATATAGGAAACAAAAGTGGGTTTTTTCTAGTTGAGAGGAGGATGAAGAGGCAGACAGCCTGCCCTCCTCACCCACCTGACAGCAGTTCCAGTGGAGGGGAAGTGAGCCCGGGGAGAACCAAGGCAACAATGAGGCAGTGGTACGGCATGCTCACCCTTCTCTCCCAGGAAAGTCTCCTCCAACAGCCCCCACCCCCTTACCTCCCGACCCCAGCCCTCTATTTCCCACACTTCCATGTTGCACTTGAATCAGAAAAGGTCCTAAACAGGACCCTCACCCTTTCCCTGCTCTGACACTCATATAGTCAGGGATTATAGTAACTCCCCCCACCCCCGACTCTGGAACTCAACTCATTTACACCTGTGTGATCTTCTACAGAGCTATTTTGTCAAATTCAGAATGAACAGAACTCCAATATCAATATATATGTATTGTTCTCTGCAATTTCTACAGTCCATCTGAGTATGAAAAACAGATTATGGTTCACTTTTTGGAAAGAGACATTAGTAAAATCCAATGGAAAACAGCAAGACATATGGAGAAGGGCACTGAATTCTGAGGAGGACATTTACACAGGTAACTAAATTTCTTAGAACTGTTCAGTTCAAATGGAATTCTAGGAAACAGAAAACCCAGCAACAAGGAAATGTCTGCTATTTAGGGATATCCCAACAAAAGTCTTTGATTAAACCAACCACACCACAGCACAGATCATCCATCCCCGGATCACCTTTGTGCACGAGGATTAGCTCCACATCTGCCAGAAGCGCGGCCAGATGTCTCTCACCGCCACTGTCTACTCCAGTCAGGGCACAGCTTGTCCTTGCTGAATCAAAAGGTTCAGCAACTTCATAACAAACCCAGAGTAAGGACTCACAGAGGAAAGGAAGAGTATTGTAGCAAGTTCAGCTAAATACAAAATTATGTCAGCAGGTGCTCCCAGCAAGACGCACCCTGGCACTAGCCCTATATTTCTATTAGTCTAAATATTTGCTTTCAAATGGTAGACAACGTGGCTCAGCATGACTTTTCTCTACTGAGAGAAGAGGTTTAAAAAAAAAAAAAAAAGTGATTTAATGCCCAGAAGCTGCCACCATCTGAAAACAGAGTCCAAAGGATTCATTAATTACTAATACTCTGATATATCAGGAACTGCCATATAAATGGATTAAACACTCCAATTAAAACGATAAAAGTTAGGGACACCTGGGTGGCCCAGATGGTTAAGCATTTGTCTGCCTTTGGTTCAGGTCATGATCTCAGGGTCCTGCGATCTGAGGTCATGATCTCATCGGGCTCCCTGCTCAGTGGGGAATCTGCTTCTCCCTCTGCCCCTCCCCCCACGCATGTGTGCACACATGCGTGCCCTCTCTCTCATGCACGTGCACGCTCTATCTCAAATAAATAAAATCTTAAAAAGAAAAAGAGACAAATGTCCTCTGGGTTATTAAAAAAAAAAAAAACTAAGGTCATTCTATATGCCTGTTAGAAGAGAAACATGCTTTAAATAAGGGTAAAGGAATGCTAAAAATAAAAGGATTGACAATCACTATATAAATACTAACCAAAAGAAGGCTGATGCCATTATTCTAATATCCAACCAAATAGGCTTTAAGCAAATAGTATATAAAGATGTATGTTACAGAACAATATTAGGAGTTATTCAACAGGGAAATAGGACAGTCCTGAATGTGTATATACCTAAAGCCACCACAGAATACATAAAGCAAAAATTGTCAGACTAGGAATAAGTAAATTGACAATCACAGTGGGGGAGGGGCGCCTGGGTGGCTCAGTCAGCTGAGCATCCAGCTCCTGATTTCAGCTCAGTCATGATCTCAGGGTCATGGGGTTGGGCCTGAGTTGGGCTCCATGCTGGCTGTGGAGCCTGCCTGGGATTCTCTCTCTCCCTCTGCCCTCCCTGCTTGCGCTCTCTCGCTCTAAAATAAATAGATGTTTTAAAAGAAACAATCACAGTGGGATATTTTGACAAAGCTCTCTTCCTGAAAAGATGAAAAATGGAAACAAACAATGAGTACAGAAGATGTAGCTAACACTCACAGCCCTACATCCCCACCATGCAGATGCACACGTGCTCCATGGGCACATGGACACGTACTCAACAGACAAGATACTGGACACAAGTCTCTATAAACAGAAACTGAAATAATGGAGAATATGCTTTCTGACCATGTAAAATGAAGGCAAAAGTCAATAAAGGAAGGAGAATGAGGAAATCCATTTGTTTGGAAAGCCATCAACACACATCTAAATAACCACATGCCAAAGCAGATATCATACTGGAAACCAGGAAGTATTTGTAACTGAGAATGAAAATGCAAACATAACATGTAAGGTGAGAGTAAAGCAGTACTTAAGAGGGAATTTATAGGCTTGGATGAACATTTCAGACAAAAGGCTGAAAATCAATAAACTAAGCTTTATCTCAAGAAGCTCAAAAAGCAACAGCAAATTGTGTCTTAGAAAGATGAAGGAATGAAAGATGCAAGCAGACATCAATGAAACACGAAGTTAACAAAGCCAGAATTTGATTCTTTGGAAAGATTAACGAAATAAACTCCTAACAAACTGCTCAAGAAAAATAAAAATTAATACAAAATTCCAACATTGCCCTGGGTATATTTTTAAAACGTGTTTAGGGATCTACAAATATGAATTTCTAAATACTTCCTGAAGGAAATACATGTTTTCTGTGGTCAGCTACTCTGCAGAGACTGTGGAAAATGAAGTTAACGTTGCTTGCTGTGGTTTGTTTTCACACCACAAACTAGCATTTTAGGGCAGATCCCAAACCTTATGGATTTTTTTTAATTTTTATTTTTTGAAGATTTTATTTATTTATTTGACACACAGAGATCACAAGTAGGCAGAGAGGCAGGAAGAGAGAGAGAGGGGAAAGCAGACTCCCTGCTGAGCAGAGAGCCAGATGCGGGGCTTGATCCCAGGACCCTGGGATCATGACTTGAGCCGAAGGCAGAGGCTTTAACCCACTGAGCCACCCAGGCGCCCCCAAACCTTATGGTTTAATAACAAGAATAAACCACCCTATACAAAAAAGCAACACCCCTCCATTCACCCCACTTCTCCATTACCCCCCCACCCCACTCCCCACCCCCTGTACAACCATAATCCCCTGGCCTGCTTTATTTTTCTCCATGGCACTTACCACCAGCTAACAAACTAGATTTGTTTTTTGTCCTTTTCTGCCCCTTCTCTCTCCAGCTCCCCAATAAGAACATAAGCTCTGAGGGCAGGGAGTTTGTTTTGTTCTTTGCTATATCCATGCCTGGAACATTCCCCAACACTTCACAGGCACTCAAGCAATAGCTGGTGGACTGGATGAATTATTACACCCTCCTCCTTTTTACTTAGTATTCACTATCATTGTATACCACAGAAACTGAGAAATCTGATGAGTCAATTCAGTACCACCCACATTACCTAGATTTTACCTTGGTCCTATTAAATACCATGATATATACTATTACTTAAGTTATGCAAATGTGTGTAAAATAACTATAATTTAATCATTTCTTCTTAATCATACTTCTCAGGGCTACAATGTGACGCAAACTCCAGGGGCCGCCATTCCCTTTTTATATTATAAATTACCACTGACAGAAAAAGTAATTCGTTCAAACTAATGCCTATGGAAATGAGAATTCAAAGAAATCATCTTAATAAAACATTTTAAAAAATCTAAAAGTACCTTATAAAACTTGTGATGTACACGTGCACAAAAGTTGCCATCAAATACTGACAATCAAATCTGTCCATTATCCCGCCATGTCCAGGAATGGTGTTTGCAAAATCCTTCAGAAACAAACAAACATATGAGCAAATTTTCAAAAAATCACCTGCTATAAAACTCCTACCTGTAAATGTCTCTTGGCACTAGGGGCCTGAAGAAAAATACTACTGGATCTCCTCACTAAAGGCAGACTTACTAGAGCATGTCTCACAAGTTAAAACCACGTCTTTCACATATGTACCCACATTCAAATGATTAGCAAATTGACTAAAAGCAGTCAAGTAACACTAATTAAATATTAATTAAATCTAGTACTAACATTTTTAGTTGGTAAAACTTTTAAATCAAAAGCGCTACTGGCTATTATTAATCTGATACTGTTCTAGCTGACTTTTCTGTTTACCCAGAAATTATTTGAGGAGCTCTTTTTAGTGTTGTTGACAGATGTACAACTAGTTCTAACTCATGATAATTCTAATAGTTTTAGTCCGAAATAAATATTTTGCTACGATAATGTATATTCTTCTTTAAGCATTGAGGTAAAAGGAAAATCAAAATAGATCATGTGGGGCACATTAGTCCATTAAATGCCCCAAGTGAAGGAAATGGTTAGTAAGTCTCTCAAGTGGACTCTCTAGACATACCCACTGTCTGGGTGCAAAGGACATGGAAATGACGGAATGCTCTTCTAGCGTACGCAGGCGGCCTAAAAACATCTAAACGCAACAGCTATTATACCTTCATTTTGGACACTCAAAATAATCTATCATTCAAGAAGAAACCTCACATTAGAGACCACTAAAGAAAATACCATCCCAAATGTAACATTTCTTTGTTTCAAACAATTACTGAAAAATTCTTCGGTTACTTTTTTACAATGCATTTCCTTCCTTCTCCTCCCTACTCTCAGAAGCAACAAGAGAACAATAGTAACTCAATTCTACTCTGCCATTTGCAGCCTCGACAGGACAGTCTTCATGGGCAGCTCTTGCTGGGGTTCACTGTGGGCACATGGTGTCTCCCCTAGTAGGTGGTGAGCAGCTTGAGAACAAAGACATTTATACACTTCTGCATGTTGCATTCCACCGAACATAGTGTCTTCTCCATTTTAAGCACTCACCGAGTGAGTTTTTTTTTATTTCCCTGGCTTCTGCAGCCCTGTGTGATCCCCCAATTTCTGCAGTCTGATCGCTGCCTCTCTACCACAGTCACGGTGTTCTCACTCCCCTTCAAACAGGCTAAGCTCCTCCTCTCCTTTGCACTCACTGGAACTCTCTTCCTTCGATTTTTCTATAGGACTCCTTCTCTTCTCAGGCCCCTGTTCAAATGCCAATTCCTCCAGAAAGGCCTGCCCTGTTCACCCCACTTTCAATAGCTATTCTCTGACTCCCAATGGCACAAGAGCTGAGATAATAAATACATGTGACTTTCTGAGAATCCAAATTAAATGAAATATAGGGATAATTTTATGTATCATGAAAAGAGATCAGCAAACTGCCCCATAGTCCTAGTCTAGCCCATTGCCTATGTTGTAAATAAAGTTTTATTAAAACCCAGTCATGGCCATTCATTGACATACTGGCCACAGGGCTTTGCATTACAATGGCAGAGTTCAGAGTTGGGTAGCTACAATGAGATTAATAAATGATTTCTTCCTTTACAGAAAGAGTTTACTGACCCCAGATCTAGTAGAATGGATGGTTACATCCAAAGGTTTTCCTGCTTGTCTCTTTAAGTGAGACTGTGGCACAACACATAAACTTCGGACGATTCATAGCTGGATTTTTGGAGGAGCACTTGAAGCACCAAGATTCTGCATTTGTCCCAACATTGACACACGCCAATTCTATAAATGTGGCTGACATAACACTTTAAAATGTATTAACATTGCCTGTCCCAAATTTAACAAGATAGAATATACTCAAATCAGCCAGGATGCATTTCTCTGAGGCTGAAACAAATAGAATGTAAAAGTTTTTGCCCAGCAGCTTAATGTGGGAGACTAAGAGAGAACCAAATTACAACTATATTATATTCTCTACTTATATTCTCTAATAATAACAAAGATTCTAAACACACACCTTGATTTTGAATGCTCTTTTGAATCCACTGGCAAAGAAGCCTCCAAAAGGGCCAATCAAAGATGCAAATGTTGAAAGAGCAATGCTGTGTATCTGGAAAGGATACAAGCTCACGGTTTCCTAAAGAGAAAATAAAGGGGGAAGGGATTTAACTGCATTAAAATTGTATTTGAGCATGCCACCTCCACTAAGAACTATGATATAAATATTAAATCAAACCATTATACCACATTTTTGGTAACTTCATAAACTTTCAGGATCATGGGAGAAAAATGTGTTGTAAGCTCTCATTCCCATCCTCTACTTAGCCAGTACTCTCCATTCCCCTCTCTAAGCATTCTGACAGCACCGGGCACACTAAAATCTTGCAGTTGGCAGGATACTCTAGTTCATATAGAAACTTCTACAACACTTGAGTTGTAGGTTTACGAAGAATCAGTTGAGTTAATTTCTGAATTTGTTTCTTACTAGAACTGTATAACTTTTGTGTTTTATTTAACTTTAATTGTATATGACAAAATGAGGGAAAAGTTTGTCTTTTACTTTATTTTTTTTTAAAGATTTTATTTATTTATTTGACAGACAGAGATCACAAGTAGGCAGAGAGGCAGGCAGAGAGAGAGAGAGAGGGAAGCAGGCTCCCTGGCAAGCACAGAGCCCAATGTGGGGCTCGATCCCAGGATCCTGGGATCATGACCTGAGCCGAAGGCAGAGGCTTTAACCCACTGAACCACCCAGGCGCCCCTGTCTTTTACTTTAAAAAAAAGACCAGCTAATTGAGCATCAGCAAGACAGTCATAAAAGATTCAGGGAGGAGATAATAGAAATTGAGAATAATTCTCCACACAAATTATTTAGTAAATTCTTTGTTCTTGTTCAACTTTAAATAGACTGGGGAACTACAAACTGCAGACAGCGCATAGATAGGTAGGCTCTAGAAAGATCATTATGAACACCAGTCTCTGGACCTGTTCTCAAAGCAAAGGCCTTGTCCCATTCAAAGACTGGTAGTACCAAAAAGTTTTACAGCAGATAACAGATGTCTTGGACACTGAAAAAAATTCTTAGATTCCATGTATTGCATATTCGAGGAGAGAAATAATTTGTTGGTTAACCTCCTCCTCAAAAATTATGGACTTTAGTTAAAATATCTCAGATACACACAGGTACACAGCACACACATGCAGCTATTTGATTCCTTACTTTAACCAACCACCCACCAGTCTTGATGACATAGATCAGCAGGGTTCTAATGGACAGCATGTCAACATCCTCCAGTGAGAGGCCTCAAACATTACCTTCAAATGGCAACAGTATGCTTTTCAAAGGGAAACTGATTTTTTAGAAGCAGCAGCTTTCTGCACTATTAAAGGTCCCCTAAAAGTCAAGGAATCTCTGAGCTGTTGATTCCTTTTTAATTAAGCTTTAAATTGAGTCCATTCCTACAGGTTACAAGTGAAGCTCACTGTAACCCATTTGATTTGCAGAAATCTAAGGAATGCTGAAAAATGTTTTCAAAACAAATACAAGGTAGGGGTGCCTGGATGGCTCAGTGGGTTAAAGCCTCTGCCTTCGGCTCAGGTCATGATACCAGGGTCCTGGGATCAAGCCCCGCATCAGGCTCTCTGCTCGGCAGGGAACCTGCTTCCTCCTCTCTCTCTGCCTCTCTGCCTACTTGTGATCTCTGTCTGTCAAATAAATAAATAAAATCTTTTAAAAAACCAAAAAACAAATACAAGGTAAATTACCATCAATAATCATTCAAACCACAAGGTAAGTAAATTCCTAACAGACAGCTGGTTTGTGATAGTAATATTCATTTTATGTTCAAGAAAGGGAAATCACAAGGTGACAGAAGTTTAGTGCTACTTTTAAATGAACCTTCATCTTTGGGATACAGGATCCTATATTTATATTATATTTATTTATATATATATATAAATATAAATAATACATTTATTTATATATATATATTAATATAAATAATATATTTATTTATTTATATATATTTATCTTACCCGTCTCAACACTGCCTTTAGAAAGGGAGGAAGTGAATAACTCTGAAGCTGGAAAAGTTCAGAGGGTTCACATTCTGTAACAAAGGAGTTAACATCACTTCGGTATTCCACTGGGCAGACAAAGTACTGGTATTTGGATAACATGTAGGCAGCCTGAATAACAAAGCAAGAGTCCATGAAACAGTGAATGAAAATAATAATAATTATATATATATGCTTATATATATATATTCTATTAAAAACTTAAACTTAACAGTTTTTGTATACTTATCTTTTATCCAGCCATTTTATTATAACCTTCAATTCTCACAAGACCTCTTTTAATAAAAACCTAAATTCTGTAACTGTACACTAATTTTTGAAACATTAACAATATCTGTTATGCATATCTAAAAGTAAATGTCAATTATTTTTAACAAACTTTTCCTACAAGTTGGGCTCACAGCAGTACCCACTAAGTGAACTAGCCAGTATGCATTAAGGAGGCAGAGTTCTTCAATATCATTAATATTCTCTGCTTTACTCAAAGCCACTACTTGTCCCAGTAACTGGGTCCCCCTGAAGGCAGAACAACTGTTAGAAACTACCAAAACACAACAGCACAGCAATGGGTCTCAAGCCTAGCTGTTCATTAGAATCAGCTGGGGGAATTAACTGACTTGGGATAGGGCTGGGACATAGACTTTATAAAAGATCCCCAGGTAATTCTGGTATGAGGCCATGGTCAGAGCTACTGGGGTACAAAATTGGTTCTGCTTAGTGGGTTTTAATAAATACATTATTAACATTTTGTGGTTCCGTTTTTTTAGGTTTAGAATAGATTAGTAAAACTTGCCATCATTTTCCAAAATGTAAATAAAAATCCCAGCAAAACTCACAATGAATCCAAACACGACTGTGGAAAAGAAACCGCCAATAAATCCTTCCCAAGTCTTTTTAGGCGACAACTAAAAAAGGTCAAATAAATTGAAAAGAGTTACTCCACTCACAAAACACACAAATACACAGGCAAACTCTCTTCAGTAAATTCCCACAATGCCTTATACATCTCTCCTTACTTTTTTCTTATTGGAATGGCTCTGCAACTCTTTTTCCTTCACTCCATGATCCTCACTTATTTCTGCAAATTTCTCTAGTAATATTAACATATTAGACCCTCAAATATTTGACATACTGTGAATATATGTCTGTTTCTGTATAACCTCAACTTATTTTTTTCTCTCTCAAAGAACTATAAACTCTAGATTAAAATCATCCCTTGACTTTAAAGCTTATATAAACCCCCACAAGAGCATAGTTCTTGCAATAAGGATGAGATGTACTCATTCCAAGTACATACGATCTGTATTGACCTACTACTGACAAAAAACAGAATATCACAAAACATGGACAATGCAGCACATCAGATTTTTGTATATTCCCCAAAATGCCATGCATATGACAGACCTCTTTCTGAAATGGCAAAACACTCCAGATACAGTATTTGCTCCACAAGTATTCACATATCCTTCTCCCTTTGGTCACAATCTATGTCTGTCTCCATGAAGAAAGGAACATGTTGTGCTTCTAAGAATAGATACTGTTTCAGATTCCGGCTATTGTTTCTCAGTCAATGGGGCATTCAGGCAGAGAAATCTGGAGGAAAGTTTGGAAATCAGTGATGCAGGGGCAGGAGGAAAAGATTTGGGAGTGGACAGCACTAACTGCCTTATCCTATAAGATAAGGACTGATACACAGGGGATCTGGTCATCAGAAGATCACTGATGACCTCTGTGATGACCCTTTCAGTGGACGGGTGAGGGCAGAAGCCAAATAAATATCAGACAGAAGTTTATGCAGACAGCAACAGGTGACAGGCTAAACTACATGATCTCTCTTTTTTTTTTTTTTTTTAAAGATTTTATTTATTTATTTGACAGAGAGAGATCACAAGTAGATGGAGAGGCAGGCAGAGAGAGAGAGAGAGAGAGAGGGAAGCAGGCTCCCTGTTGAGCAGAGAGCCCGATGCGGGACTCGATCCCAAGACCCTGAGATCATGACCTGAGCCGAAGGCAGCGGCTTAACCCACTGAGCCACCCAGGCACCCCATACATGATCTCTTCATAGACCTCTTGTCTTAACGATGTTCATGAAAGGCCAAAGCCAAAAACGTTGATAGAAACAGTTTCTTGATAAATCTGATAACAATTCTGCCACAGAGACAAGAGTGATACACACCATTTCCTAGGATAATTCAGTATTACTGTCATGAAGTAGAAGCTGACTCAAATTGAAAAGTGACTGTTGATTATTTCAGAGATAACTTAATTGGGAACCTGGGAGGCTCAGGGTTGGGCATCTGGCTCTTGATTTCGGCTGGGGTCATGATCTCAGGGTCCTGGGACTGAGCCCTGTGTCAGGCTCTGTGCTCAGCAGGGGAGTCTGCTTGGGGATTCTCTCTCCCACTTCATTCTGCCTCTCCCCCCAACTTGTGTTTTCTCTCTTTCTCTCAAATAAATAAATCTTCAAAAAAAAAAAACAAAAATAAAGATAACTTATCAAATAAAATTGATCTATATCAAACTGATTTAGAGGTTAACTTGTTTAATTACATATGGGTATACTATACAACTAATCCAGCCCTAAATTCACTAGAAATCTATGTTCAAAATCAGACAGGAACATTCTACATCCATAACAACCTCTTTCAAGACTTCCAAAGCCAAAAACTTCTCATCTGATATAGAAGCCTTGAATATTTAATCACGTACTCTTATACTGAAGCAGCTTTAGAAATGTTTAAATATATATATATTCAGCTTGCTTGCCTGTATCCCTACAGCTCAGCCTGATGTTGTATGCTAGACTCCTATGTGGGGAAGAAAATTTATGGAAGCTTTTCTTGAAGGATAAGCAGTTCATGCTTTCCTCTGGGAACACTTAAGCCTCTCTCGTATCATTCTGATCAAACAGGTTTGGTACCTGCACAACTGTCTCAGTTCCTCTAAACTGCCTTCATGTAGTAACATCAAAAGAGCCAATTAACATATTTGTGGGAATATTATTAAAGATTCTGCCCGATATATGAATGGAGTGAATCCTATCTAAAGCCCCAACATGAAAAGTTTGTTTAAAAGTAATTAGTTCTATGATTTTTCCATGAGGAATTGGTTTGTTTCTTCTCCAAAATGAGAACTGTGTAACAATTCATTTCCTTCTTTGCCTCCACTGACTAAGTAGAACCAAATCAAAGGCAAAACCACATGATCTGCTCATGTGTATTTTTCTTTCCCTTGTCTTAACATTTACTTATTACTTGCATTACCAGTATTTTATTGTAGGGCCTCAGGGGTTTTTTTGAAATGAGTTTGGGTGTAAAAGCTTTACAGATGGACATGAGTATGTGAAGATGGTTAAGTGTACCCTTTCAAAAAAATTGCTAAAGGAGCAGAGTCTAGGAAGGACTTGTTTGTAGGTTTGCTACAGTGGAATGGAAGAAGGAAGACTTGCACTGTAGCTAATGGAAAGAAACCAGCCGAAAGATGAAATGAGCCTTCACAAGATGAAGGATAATTGATAGAGACAGGTCCTTGTTGAGCAGCCAAGAGACTATCTCACAAAGTATCCAGATGGAATCATTGGGAAATATGGCTCACTGCCCCTACACTGTGGCTGTTAAATACAGCTATGGGAAAATCAAAGCACCTCACAAATAAAAATGTACAACAGCACCAAATTGTTGGAAATTTTCTCCAGTGGCTCATCTTAAGGTTATGGTAATGGCTTGCTCAAGATGTTGTTCCATTACCTTAATTAATGGAGTCCTCCCAAAAAAAAATCCAAAAAGGTAAGCAGTTATGTCATTGCAAATAACACTTGATATTGGAACAAGGAACCTTAAAGAAAATCAGAAAAAAAAGTCCATATGATTAAGTGTCAAACATTTATACAGGTCATGACTCATAAAGAACCAATGCAATAGCCCTTTGGATTATACAGCAGCCTCATCCAGAACATTTGCCAAAACATTAGTAGAAATGATATATATCAAGTAAATTTGCCCAGATCAGCTTAATGCAATTCAGCAGAGAAAAATCTATAAATAAACCAACATATCAGGAGAATATTGCTAAGGAAAATATTAAATAATCAATTTAATTTTAATATTAAGCAATCCATTTCTATAGCTATGGACTTTCAAATTTCAGTTTTATGAGAAACAAGTTATAACAGCACAAAGAATTAAAATAAGCAGTCTTTCAAAATGGAAAGGAGTCATTTGTTTAGACACAATATAATCTCATAAATTTATAACAAGCACTTAATACAAATTCTTTCTCGGGAAGAACTATCAATTTTAATTCTACCTTAGCCTATAGTTATATTAAACCCTGCTAATTTTATAGAACCTACTAATTTCAGTAGCTGCCCCCTATCAATTAAAAGTTTGTATATGGAAGACAATCTCAAAATGATTCTGATCATTTTACACAAACACATACACACACACACACACACTTTGGTATTAAAAAAAAAAAACAAGAACAAAACACAAAGCTGTGAAGGATTTTATCTTGACAAAGACCTGTTGACTATAAAAGATTTTAACTAATGGGTTTAAAAAGAATGTGGGGATAACATGGTCAGATTTCTTAAATCATTTTTCTCCACTCTGTTTTTAACTAATAATTTTTATAATTTTAAACTAATAAAAAAATGCTTTCTGAATATTCAAGTCACTGCTAGACAGCAAGTAATTCCATCTGAAATCTGGACACTCCTGTATAAAGGCAGAGTAGAACCCACTCAACTTTCATTCAGCACAGTGTTTGCTCACAAGCCAACTTTCACGTTCTTTTGCATTCCACAAAAATAATATACTCTTTTTAAAATCTGTGTATGCTTTGTAAAAAGACACATAAGATGTAGTAACACCTGAAAATGTAATTAATTTTTGGAGCTTTTTATGAGGACTTCCTGCATTTTATTTGGAAGCCGAAAAAGAAGGGTTTTCAAGTTGTTAACGAAGTGTTTGTCTTCAGTTGTCAAAGAGTAAAGCAAAACTCAGTAAGATATTTTAGTGATAGAGCAACAACAAAGAGTACATTTTAGTAGAAATCTATAAGACACTGCCCAACTGAAAGAGCTTTAAAAAGGCTAGGACATAAATACAAAGCAGCATAATGCTGTCCCCTTACCATATCATGCCTTCAAACAGATTTTGGATGACAAGATGTGACTGAGTAACTGTTATCAGTAGAGTGACATGAGTCCATGCGAACTGTTAATAGCCCAACAACACAACAATTAGTGAACACAGCTGATCAGTGCAGCCCTAGAAGCAAGAGCAATTTTGAAACACAAATTTCTAGCATGACTTTTGGTCAAAGTTTGTAAGATAGGGACATACAAAATAAACGCTGTTAGTAAATTATAGTCATTTGAGGGTCTACTAGTCTAGTAAATTATAGTCATTTAAAACCATGAAGACATTTAACAAAGTAATCTTAATTTAAACAAAAATGGAATACTAACAATACTGGGAAACATTACTGAATTTAAAAACATATACAAAATATACAATAATCCTGAATCATTAGATTAAAATGATAATGAGAAATTTCTGCTGTTCTTACAGCATCTAGAGAGGACCATTTTGCTCTGGCTGCATTCTGCATTAAAAATGCTAAAAGCTATTCTTTTTTCAGAGTTCATTATGGTAACTTTTCCCATAGAGAGTTATTTCTGCCTTCACATAACTGAAACCAACAGGGACCAGTTACCCTTAAACACCAGCATTCCATACTTGAAAGTTGGTCTTTCCAACAGTACCATTCAAGGACAGTATTCAATTTCAAAATTTCAAACGTGTGTGTTTCATCAAGTCCATCTAGCCTGAGAGATGCCATTTTAGTAATTTTTTTAGCATCACTTGTATGAGTAGAATGTGAATGGGAAAAAAAATACCTTAACGTTTCTATATCTGTCTCATAATTTTGATTGGAATTTATAAAATGTTCAAAATTTTTAAGATTTGGATTTATTCATAATAAATCTCATTTTGGCAAATAATAAATGAGGTTTTATAATATATTTGTTTTATTTTTATCTGCATAGAAGATCTAATTCTCTTTCATTTTGGTCGCTTCAAAATGCATAAATGATTTTTTTCCAATAAAATTTATGTTTTCAGAGATTCTATTATTTCTAACTCGTCTTGATGGTTTCTAGATTTTCATGGATAATTTGACTCTCCTCAAGATTCCCCCAAATTAGAAATTTAAGAAGTATTACAGTTTCCCAGTGATGATGCTCAGCAGGGTATCTCAATGTGGAAAAGCAAAGCATAAAGAATAGGAAATATATCCAAATCCAAAACAAGCCTTATTAATACATGAATTCACAGATCTAAATACTATATTTTCCATTTTACATTCTTATAATTAACTATCTTTTAAGAAAATAAGAAAAATTCATCATACACAGTGATAAATTTCATAAAATACTAAGCACAATTCAATGATAAACTACATAAAACACCTTAGGGCAAAAAGAATTATGCAATTAATTGTGTGACTAACCACAGCTACCAGGAAAATATATGTTCTGTTCTCCTTATGCTCAGCTAAGGACAAATAAAGATAGTTATTGTCCATAGAAAAATATAGATACTTTGAAACCAGTTAAAATTTTTAAATCTTCAAGAATTGTACAACTTAAACCTTTTGTATGTAACAGTCATCCAAAATTGAAATACCCCTCAAATTTAGGCAAAACATCAACTAGCAGATTAGATCTTCTCACTATAGAAAAAAAAATAAAGGCAAGCACATTTTTATTACATGTAGTTATGGTTAATACAGACCATATAAAACTGCAGACGATAATGTTTCTTCACCAAACTCAGCACAAACATGCAGAAACCTGTTTAAGAACAAAAAACATGTGCTTGTTGTGCAATGTTATAAAATATAAGATTCATGAGCTCAAATAAACGAATTTTCTCTACCACTTCGAGGTATACTTTAGCATTTACTCAAAGGCCACCTCTCCTACTCATAAAAAGCATTTTAAATTAAAGTTTTTTGAGTGAAATAATCTTGTGTTCTCCAAAATACCTAATATATTCTGTGTAATAAATTAAAAAAGCATCCCCTGCATTAATTATGTGAATTAGTCCCTTGCAAATATATGGACACAGAAAAACAGATCCTGAATTTCAGTTGAATGAAAGTTACTTGATAAGAGAGAGAAAAAAGTTACCTACAAGGGAAAATCTCTAAGACTATGAGCTGATTTTTCAGCAGGAACTTTGCAAGCCAGAATGGAGTGGCATGCCATATTCGAAGTCCTGAAAGGAAAAAAACCTACAGCTAAGAATACTCTATCTGGCAAGGTAATCATTTAAATTTGAAGGAATGGTAAAGAGTTTCCCAGACAAATAAAAGATAAATGAGTCTTAGAAGAAGAGTTAAAGGCACTTCTTTTTTTTTTTTAAGATTTTTTTTTTTTTAATTTATTTGAGAGAGAGAGAGAGATAGAGCATGAGAGGAGAGAGGTCAGCTGGAGAAGCAGACTCCCTGCCAAGCAGGGAGCCCAATGCGGGACTCGATCCTGGGACTCCAGGATCATGACCTGAGCCGAAGGCAGTGGCTTAACCAACTAAGCCACCCAGGCACCCCAAAGGGACTTCTTTAAGTAGAAAAGAAATGGCTATAAGTAGATGTAAGAAAATTGTGAATAAAAGACATGGGGCACTGGGTGGCTCGGTCAGTTAAGCCTTGGGCTCTTGATTTTGGCTCAGGTCATGATCTCAGGGTTGTGAGATCAAGTCCACACCAGGCTCCACACTGAGTGTGGAGCCTAAGATTCTCCTTCTCCTTCTCCCATTGTCCCTCCCCCTGCTCACATCCTCTCTAATAAATAAATATATCTTTAAAAAAGAAAAAAAAAAGAATGTAGGGGTGCCTGGGTGGTTCAGTTGTTTAAGTGTCTGCCTTCTGTTCAGGTCATGATCTCAGAGTCCTGGGATCAAGGCATGTATGTGTTGGGCTCCCTGCTCAGTGGTGGTGGTGGGGTAGTGTCTGCTTTTCCCTCTGCCCCTCCCCCTCCATTTGTGCTCTCTCATGCACACACACTCTCTCTCTCAATTAAATAAAACCTTTTTAAAAAAGTAAAATATGATCACATATACATAAAACATGGAGGCGGGAATAAAAAAAGGGGAGGAGGAAAAAGAAAAGGTATTTTTTTTCTTTTTCTTTTTTTTAATAAGAATGTATTAGATCTTAAATGACCATTTAATTAACATAGACTGCTATTTACTTAGGATGTTATATATGAATCTCATAGTAACCACAAACCTAAAACCTATAATAGATAAACAAAAAATAAAAAGAGAGAACACCAAATATAAGACTATAGAAACTCATCAATCACACACACACACAAAAAAAGAGTAAGAGAGGAAGGAACAGAGAAGAACTACAAAAACAACCAGGAAACAAATAACAAAATAGCAATATCTATCAATAATTATTTTAGATGTAAATGGCCTAAATGCTCCAATCGAAAGACATACAATGGCAAAATGGATAAAGAAACAAGACCCATCTATGAGCTGTTTACAAGACTCACCTCAGATCTAAAGACACTGGCTGAAAGCAAAGTGATGACAGTGCATTAACCATGGAAATGGAAGCAGGGGTGGAGGGGAGCAGGGTAGCAATACTTATATGAGACAAAGCAGACTTTAAAATAAAGACTAATGAGAGACAAAGAAGGGCTTTACATAATGATAAAAGGGTCAATCTAACAAGAAGATATAATAATTGTAAACAACTATACATCCAACACTGGAGCACCTAAATGCAGAAGGCAAATATTAATGGGCATAAAGAGAGAAACTGATGGTAAAACAATAATATTAGAGGACTTTAACATACCACTTACATCAATGGATAGATCATCCAGGCAGAAAAGTCAACAAGAGATTCAGTGTTTTTAAATGACATATGGGACCAGATGGATACAACGGATACATATAGAACATTCCATCTAAAAACAGCAGAAGAGAGGCTTCTGACAGGCTCAGTTGGTAGAGCATGTGACTCTTGATTACAGGGTTGTAAATTCAAGCTCCCACATTAGGTGTAGAGATTATAAACAAATAAACTTTTAAAAATAAATAAATAATTAAAAAAATAAAAACAACAGAATACACATTTAAGCGCACATGGAACACTCTCCAGAAGAGATCACATATTAGACCATGAAACAAGCCTCAATAAATTTAAGAAGATTAATATCATACCATGTTATCTTTTCCAATCACAATTGTATGAAACTAGAAGTGAATCATGAGGAAAAAAAGGAAACAATACAAAAACATGGAGGCTAAACAGTATGATTCTAACAACTAAGGACCAAAAGAAATTAAAGAACAAATAAAAAAAAAAAAACATTGAGACAAATGAAAATGAAAACATAATGATCTAAAATCCTCTGGAACACAGTAAAAGCAGTTTAAGAAGAAAATATAGTGATATAGGCCTCCCTAAAGAAAGAAGAGCTCAAATAAACAACCTAACCTTACACCTCAGGGAACTAGAAAAAGAACAAGCAAAGCCCAAGGTCAGTAGAAAAAAAAGGAAAAAATAAAGATCAGAGCAGAAATAAATGACATAGAAACAAAAAAACACAGTAGAAAAAAAAATCAACAAAACCAAGAGCTGGTTCTTTGAAAAGATAAACAAAATTGATAAACCTTAGCCAAGATTACTATCTTTTTCAAGAAAAGAGAAAAAACCCAAGTAAAATCAGAAATAAGACAGTAGTAATAACTAAAACCACAGAAATACAAAGGATCATAAGAGACTATGATGAAAAATTATAAGCCAACAAACTGAGCAATCTAGAAGAAATGGATAAATTTCTAAAAACATACAATCTTCTAAAACTAAATCAGGAAGAAATAGGAAATCTGAAGAAACTGATTAAAAGTAAAGAAACTGAATCACTAATCAAAAACCACCAAAAAACTAAAGCCCTGGACTAGACAGATTCACAGGTCAATTCTACCAAACATTCGTAGATAATTAATACTTACTCTCCTCAAACAATTCCAAAAAAATAGAAGGAAAACTTCCAAATATATTCTACAAAGCCAGCATTACGCTGATACTAAAACCAAAGATAGCACAAAAAAACAGAAACTACAGGTCAATATTCCTGAACATAGATGCAAAAATCCTCATCAAAATTTGGCAAATCAAATACAACAATACCCTAAAAAGATTATTCACCAGGATCAAGGGGGATTTATTCTGGAAATGCATGATTCAATATCCACAAATCAACCAATGTGATATACCACCACCAACAAAATGAAGTATAAAAATCATGATCATCTCAATAGTTGCAAAGCATTTGACAAAATCCAATATCCATTAATGATTTTAAAAAAATGTCTCAACAAAATGAGGTTAGAGTATGTATATACACACATACATTCTCATACACACACACGAAACCCATAGCTAATAGCATATTCAATGATGAAAAACTGAGAATTTAGGATTATGAATAAGACAGAATACCCACTCTCCTCACTTTCACTCAACACAGTACTGGAAGTCCAAGCCATAGCAATCAGACAAGAAAAAGAAATAAAAGGCATCCATATTGGTAAAAGTTAAACTGATGAGGACATGATATACAGAAAATCCTTAAAACTCCACCAAAAAACTACTAGATGTAATAAATGAATTCAATAAAGTTACAGCATGCAAAACTAATACCTAGAAATCAGTAGTGTTTCTACATACTAATAATGAGGTAGCACAAAGAGAAATTAAGAAACCAACATCATTTATAATTGTACCAGAAAGAATAACACTTAACCAAATACTTAACCAAAAAGGTGAAAGACCTGGACTCTGAAAACTACAAAACATTAATGAAAATAAATTGAAGATGACATAAACAAATGGAAAGAAGTTCCATGTTCATGGATCATAATAATATTGTTAAAATGTCCATATTACCCAAAACAATCTACAGATTCAATGCAATACCTATCAAAATACACACAGCATTTTTCATAGAATTAGAACAAATAATTTGTATGGAACCTCAAAATATCCCAAATACCCAAAGCAATCTTGAGAGGGTAAAAAAAAAAAAAAAGAAAAAGAAAAAGCTAGAGATATCACACTCCTGGGTTTCAAGATATACTACAAAACTGTAGTAATCAAAACAGTATGGTGCATGAGGTGCCTGGGTGGCTCAGTGGGTTAAAGCCTCTGCCTCCAGCTCAGGTCATGATCTCAGGGTCCTGGGATCAAGCCCCTCATCGGGCTCTCTGCTCAGCGGGAAGCCTGCTTCCTCCTCTCTGTCTGCCTCTCTGTCTACTTGTGATTTCTGTCTGTCAAATAAATAAATAAAATCTTAAAAAAAAACAGTATGGTGCAGACACAAAAACAAGACAAATAGATCAATGGAATAGAATAGAGACCCCATAAATAAACCCATGATTATACAGCCAATTAATGTATGATAAAGTAGGCAAGACTATAAAATGGGGAAGAAGATAGTCGTGTTAATAAATGGTACTGGAAAAATGGGATAGCTACATGCAAAAGAAACTGGACCACTTCTTAACACCATACCATACACAAGAATAAACTCAAAATGGATTTAAGACCTAAATGTGAGACCTGAAACCATAAAAATCCTAGAAGAGAGTTCAAGCAGTAATTTCTCTGACATCAACCACACCAACATTTTTCTAGATGTGTTTCCTAAGGCAAGGGAAATAAAAGCAAAAATAAACTATTGGAACCACCTCAAAATTAAAAGCTTTTGTATAGCAAAGAAAACCATTAACAAAACAAAAGGCAATCTACTAAATGGGAAAAGATATT